GCCAGTGGGTGTGTTGGGAACAGTGAAGAAGCCGGTGCTTTGGGTGTTTCACAGTCAGCCCATGGAGCTTGGAGACAAACTACACATATGCATGCTTGCCGTCACTGCCCTCAGGAGGCCAGAGAAACAGTGGCACACTTTTGGGAAATGCTTAAGTGGGGACTGCCCATGCATCGTGGTTTTACACTTGACAAGTGCTCTTTCTGATGTCATGTGTGGTTCTCAGGCTATTCCAGAGTAAAAGAAGGAGCCACCCCTGTTAGCAGATGAGAGAATGGAAGTTGAGGCAAAACGTCAGTCTAGATCATGCTTCTAGGTAAGAAGAAAATGTAGGGAAAGCTGAGTGCCAGTTGCTTATACCTATGAGCCTAGCTACTTGGGAGCTGAGATTGGGGGGATTATGGGTCTAGCAGGGGCAGAAAGTTCCCAAGACCTCTTCTCAACTGCAAACTGGGAGCAGTGGCCCATGCCTGTCAACCTAGCTTTGTGGAAATCAGGAAGACTGTGATTCCAAGTGAACCCAGCAGAAGTCTTCAAGACTCCATCTGTCTCAGCAGAAGATGAAGTCAACTACTTAAGATAATTTTTTTAACTTTGCTTAAGAAAAGAAGAGGGCTGGGAAGGTGGCTCAGTGGTAGAGTGCTTGCCTTGCATGCATGAGGCCCTGGGTTCAATTCCTCAGCACCACATAAACAGAAAAAGGCGGAAGTGGAGCTGTGGCTTAAGTGGTAGAGCGCTAGTCTTGAGCTGAAGAGCTGAGGGACAGTGTTCAGGCCCAGAGTTCAAGTCCCACAACCGACAAAAAAAAAAAAAAAAAGAAAAGAAGAGGCTGGGAAGGTGGCTCAGCAATAGAGTGCATGAGGCCTTAGGTTTGATTCCTCAGCATCACATAAACAGAAAAGGCTGGAAGTGGCACTATGGCTCAAGTGATAGAGCGCTAGCCTTGAGCTGAAGCACCGAGGCAGAGCACCCAGGCATAGAGTTCTAGCCCCACAACTGATTAAAAGAGAAAAGAAAAGAAGAACAACAACAATGAAGTTAATGAGTGGCAAACACCTATCCTCCCAGCAGTGACATAAAGTCTAAAATAGGCAGGTCCAGATCCAGGCACACACCCAGGCAGGAGACAAGACTCTGTCTCAAAATAACCAACACAGGCTGGGAAGGTGGCTCAGTGGTAGAGCGCTTGCCTTGCATGCACAAGGCCCTGGGTTCTATTCCTCCGCACCAAATAATCAGAAAAGGCCAGAAGTGTCACTGTGGCTCAAGTTGGTAAAGCGCTCGCCTTGAGCTGAAGAGCTGAGGGACAGCGCCCAGGCCCAGAGTTCAAGCCCCACCACCGACCAAAAAAAAAAAAAGATGGTTGAGACCAGAGTGATCTGTGCAGGCTTAAGAGACCTGAGTCCCTTGGTTCTCACGAGGAGACGGAGTGTTGGTGAAGATGTCATGAGCTCTTTTCTGCTAGTACGGAGATGACATTTGCACCCTGATGTAGGCACCACAGCTCTTTTTCTCTTTAGGCCTCCTCAGATGTGACCCTTGAAGCCTTTATGATAAGAAATGTTTCTAGGTTGCCTCTTGCTCCCTTTTTTTCCCCTCAAAATACCAGTTTCAACATCTTTATTTAACCTTTTCCACAGATGAGCGCTAGGTCAATGCAGTGTCATGCAGTCACACAGAGGTTAGGAGTTAGAGGTAGAAGATTGTTTTCTTACACGTGAGAGCGCTTCTGTCGAGCAGCAGCAGCACAGCCGCCTGGCTGTGGAGGGCACGGTGTTGGCCTGCCCAGGCTTCTCTTGCCACACATCCCAGGCATCCCCACAGTTCTGGACACTCCAAGACCCAGGGGCCGGAAGAGTTCCAGTTCAGCGAGGACTCCCTTCCTGGCTCCCTTTGGTCTTTCCTCTGAGAGAGTGCATGGGGTGGAGGCACCATATTTACCTTAATTGAATCCTAGGCCCCTGGGTTATCTTCCCGTTGCTAGGACAAAATACCTGAGGAAAAAATTTAAGTTAAATGAAGGAAGATTAGTTGGACATAATGATGCACACCTCTCATGCCAGCATTTGGTAGGCTGATTCATGAAGCAGCAATATTGGGAGTTCTGACCTGGCCCAGGCCAAGTAAACAAACAAAAAAACGGGAAAAACAAAGAAAGAAAAGGAAAGAAAGGTCCCTGGTTTCTGTCCACAGTCTCCTGCTTCATCAGGCCATCAGTGAAGCAGAAGCTGTGGCAGATGTGGTAGGACAACTAGTTTTCACTTCATGGTAGGAGGAAACAGGGAAAACAAGGATCTGGAGGAAACAGACCCAGCTCACCAACCCTGGCTTCCACCACCAGCTGGGACCATGTGTAGCCACCAGGGAAGTGAATGAAAGTGGCACCACATTAGGCTGCAACTGCAGCAAGGTGGCAGCCATTGCCTGGCAGACCCCTAGCAGGACCCAGAAGCTGAAGAGCTTCCTAGCCACTGGACCACAGTGCACGAACACTTGGTGGACAGCAGCCTGACAGTGCACCACTCTCTTTCCTAATGTTGTGACTGGGTTTCTAACAAATCCCCTACAAACGGGTGCTCCAGTCAGACTCCTGGAGAATCGGCAGGGGAGGGAGAAGGGAGGGAGCCCAGCCAGCCTCGCAGGCCCAGGCCACCTCCATTACCCAAGATTGTCTCCTTTTCTGAGTCAGCTGATGGCAGCTGCTTAGAGCATCTCCACACCACCCTCGCAGCAACACCTTGTCTGTTTGCATGGTCGGGTACTGCAGCTTAGCTGGTTAGCACAAGATGAACCATCACTCTGAGGTACCTTTCACCATTGTCTGTGATGTCATACCTCCTGCCCTTCCTGGGAAGGCTGGTCATTTCTGAAAGTTTTCATCTCAGACATAGTTGGCTTTAGGAGGGACATGCGGGGTTCCCCTTCACCCCTACTGAGCAGAGGGGGAAGAGAAGTTGCCTCCAGCAGTGTGCGGGCTCTTCCTTGTGGTAGTCCTTTGGGGCAGGTTAAAGATCCTCGTGCGGAGGGCAGCATGCCCGCTGTGGTGAGCCAGCCCTCCCTCGGCTGCCTCCCAGCCAGCCCCAGTGCTCCCACATGCACTCTGCTTTCTGTGTATTACACGCTCTCTCCAAACTAACACCTAGCCAGCATGTGACTCTTCCCCACAGCCCGCAATACACCTGTCTCTCTTCCAAATGTGCCCCTCAACTCTGAGTGACTGGGGCGTTCCCACCCCTGTGATCTGGCTTTCAGGAAAAGCCAACCCAGATCAAGAAAGCTAAAGACTCAATTCTGAGGCCGGATGTCCATAGTTCACGCCTGTAATCCTAGCGATTTAGGAGGCTGAGATCTAAGGACTGAAGTTTAAAGCCAGCTTGGACATTAACCACCAGAAAACTGGAAGTGGCACTGTAGCTCAAAGGTGTAGAGCACTAGTCTTGAGCAAAAGAGCTCAGGGACTGCGCCCAGCCCCTGAGTTCAACCCCCAGGACTGACACACACAAAACTTGGTTCTCTTCATGCTCACGGCTTGGGGAGGAGCTGTGGCGCAGCTTGGTGGCTGGTGGTGACAGGCAGTTCTGCCCTTCTCTGCAAACTCTAGAAGGAGTGATGGCCCACCGGGCATGTGGCCTCTCCTTTGTCGCTGGTGGTTGAATCTATGAGTGTGCTGCCTGGAGAAGCCTTCCTGTCCCGGTTTCCTCCACCTGCTGAGGAAGCGCCCCTCTCCCTGTCAGGCTTCACCTTTTGTCACCTGTTTTGGGCATTCTCACAGAGGCTTGTGCACATGACTGGCTCACAGGAGGTCTCTGGTCCTCAGAGGTTGGATACCAGTGAGAACCAGTCAGGCATCAAGGCTTAGCTTCCAGACTTTTTTTTTTTTCTTTTTCTTTTTCTTTTTTTTTTGTCAGTCATGGGGCCTGAACTCTGGGCCTGGGCACTGTCCCTCAGCTCTTCAGCTGTAGGCTAGCACACTACCACTTGAGCCACAGCACCACTTCCAGTTTTCTGGTGGTTTATTGGAGATACGAGTCTCACAGAGTTTCCTGCCCAGGCTGGCTTTGAACCGAGATTCTCAGATCTCAGCCTCTTGAGTAGCTAGGATTACAGGTGTGAGCCACAAGACACCCAGCCAGACTTTTTTTCTTTATACTTATGTCTTAGGAACATTACTCCTATTTTACTAAAAGAATTTAAATTGTGGGCTGGGAATGTAGCTTAATGGTAGAGCGCTTGCCTAGAATGCATGAAGCCCTGGGTTCAATTCCTTAGTACCACATAAACAGATAAAGCCTGATGTGGGGCTGTGGCTCAAGTGATAGAATGCTAGCCTTGAGCAAACGACGCTAAGGAGCTGGGCGCCAGTGGCAGTTCAAAGCCAGCTGGGGCAGGAAAGTCCATGAGATTCTTAGCTCCAATTAACCACCAGGAAACTAGAAATGGTGCTGTGTCTCAAGTGGTAGAGCACTCGCCTTGAGCTGAAGAGCTGAGGGGACAGCGCCCAGGCCCAGAGTTCAAACCCCACGACCAACAAAAAAAAAGTCAGAAGACTAAGCCGGGTGCCAGTGGTTCACGCCTGATATCCTAGCTACACAGGAGGCTGAGTTCTTAGTGTCACAGTTTGAAGCTATCTTAAGCACAGAAATCTGACTCATGTCCAGTTAACCAGCAGAAAGCCAGTAGCATATGCAGCACAAGTAGAGTACCAGCCTTGAGTGAAAAAGCTAAGGGATAGTACCCAGGCCCAATTCAAGCCCCAGTACTGGCACAATAAAGGAAGGGAGGGAGGAAGGAAGGAAGTCAAACACAAGACTTTGGTGATCGCCTGCCTGTGGGAAGTCTGTTTGCTGTTGTACTTTTGACCCAGGCTCCACTGTTTCTGAATCTTAAAAATAATGACCAGACACTTCACGACAGGATTAAGACTGTTATTAGAGTTATTACGTATTTCTTTGTCAGACTTGAAGTGTCATGGTTGTAACCATGTAATATGTGGGTTTTAGTTTGCAGTTAACATGTTTCGGACCTTGCCACCTTCCTCCAATCCTACGGGAGCAGAATTCGACCCAGAGGAGGATGAGCCAACGTTAGAAGCAGCCTGGCCTCATCTTCAGGTACTGGACTCTCTGAGCCCCAAACAGGAGGGTGCGCACTGCATGGCTCTGTAGAGCAGAGGCATTGCCCAGGGCCTCCCTTCAGTGCTAGCCAGTAGACCTCTCATCTGAACTCATCTCTGACCTAGTAATGTTTTAGCAAACCGTGTTTGTGTTTAAATGCTTTTACACAAACTACAAAGATGTTAAATTGGAGTGTATCTCCGATGGCAATACCCACCTTGCAGATACCCACTAAATTGAGACCTGGAGGAGTTCAGCAGGTATGCTTCTGGTGTTCCTGGATTTAACCTATGTCCCTGCGTACCCTGGGCTCCTTCCTGACTGGAACCTTCTCCAAGTGCATCTGTACATGCCAGATAGACTAGAAGGCCCCCAGGCCAGTGTGGACAAAGCAAGGTCATGCATGCCAAGGCCCTGGAGGCGGATGGCAGGTCACCTGGAAGGGAAGCAGATAGTGGGACACACAGGGAAGGGAGGGTGTCCTGGGAGCCAGATATTCTGCCTCACAGCGTCTAGCTTCTACACCTAGCTCGTGACAACCAGGCCATGGTGCCCAGTGCAGCCTAGTCACGAGGGGAGAAGCCAGTGACTACAGCTCATTGTGTGCATCTGTGCAGCCCGCTCCACTGACAGCTGCTGAGTCCGGCTGCCTGGCTTTGAGTCTCAGCACTCACTCCAGATGCCCAGGCAACAGCCTGCCAGTCCCACGCTGGAGGCTGATCCAGGCCCAGGGCGTGGCGGCTCTTCAGTGGGCTCTGGCAGTGATGTAAGCACTGGTGACATGGCCATGGAAAATGTTTTGCTCAATGGCTATTTAAAGCATAGTCTGTGGCTCTCAATAAACAAAATAATTGCCATCACAAATTATAGTTAAGTTAAGCCACACATTTCAACCTGGATTCGGTAGAGATGCTGCCCTTTAAGTATCTGTTATTTTCAAACACCCACAAAAATCACATCAAAGGGTATCTAAATCACCACTTAAAATACTACTGGTCTGGGAAAGTGGCTCAGTGGAAGAGTGCCTGCCTCGCATGCATGAGGCCCTGGGTTCGATTCCTCAACACTACATAAGCAGAAAAAGCTGGAAGTGGTGCTGTGGCTCAAGTGGTAGAGCGCTAGCCTTGAGCTGAAGAGCTGAGGGACAGTGCCCAGGCCCAGAGTTCAAACCCCATGACTAGCAAAAAATAAATAAACAAATAAATAAATAAAATAAAATACTGTTATTTGACTCATTGTTTTTTTTTCTCCTAGCTTGTTTATGAATTTTTCTTAAGATTTTTAGAGTCTCCAGATTTCCAGCCTAATATCGCAAAGAAATATATTGACCAGAAGTTTGTACTGCAGGTAAGGCACGAGTTAGCTGTAACTGCAGGAGCTACAATCTGCAGAGCTGCAAAGTGGTCACTAAATGTCTTTTTCTTCTTGAAGCTTTTAGAGCTCTTTGACAGCGAGGATCCTCGGGAGAGAGATTTTCTAAAAACAACCCTTCACAGAATCTATGGAAAGTTCTTAGGCCTGAGAGCTTACATCCGAAAACAGATAAATAATATATTTTATAGGTAAGTCTCTGTGAGATGACGTTCTTTGTGCATGACGGTATTCACGTTCACACTCAGTGCCCCGTGTCTCCCTGCCGTGGGGCAAAGGGCAGTGGAGAGAGATGGAGCAGCATGCTAGAAGTCATGCACCAGTGGCAGACATACTGCACACCCCCTGGGCCCCTGCTGCTGTCCAGGTAGCTCCCTCCCCGGCCCCATACCTGGCCCCCTCTTGAGGCCTCCCACATCTCCCAGAACCTCACTGTTCATGCTGATTTGGGACTTCCCAGTTTGGGACTTCCCTGGGAGCCTCTGGGTGCCCCGATGGCACTGAACCAATGGTGTCCAAACACCGCGTCCTTCCACCTGCGCCATCTCTTCCCTCTCCAAGAATCTCAGTGAAGGAGTCAGGGTGAGGAGCAAAGTAGCCTGACCTAGGAGGATCTATGAACTCAGGTGAGCAGTTCTGGGGGCTCTGGCTGGGCACAGGGGAGGAAACCTTGCCAGAGTGGCTTTCCAGTGCCATGCCCAGCCTGAAGCCTACGGGACCATGGGGTGTAACCTCAGATGCTGGCCTGTGAGCACTGAGCTTAGAAAGGCCCCACAGTGCTCAAGTGCGTGGTCCAACATCACTTCTGGCCTCATCACTGACCAGGCCTCGTTGCTTCTTAAGTCAGAGCCTCATGTGTACTAGGCAAGCACTCTAGCCCATGAGCCATGCTTCCAGCCCTTCTGTTTGTTTGTTTGTTTGAAACAGGGTCATGCTAACTTAGCCTGGGCTGGCCTCCAACTCCATATCCTCCTGCCTGTGCCTCCAGAAATTTCATACCTGCACCAGCATGCCGGGTTCATTGATTCTCTCACCTGGCACCTCTGAGTCTCTTGACACCACAGATGGCTGCTGCCGCCACTGCTGTTGGGGTGGCAGGGCACCCTCTCTGATCCGCCTCTGCTGTTGGGGTGGCAGGGCACCCTCTCTGATCCGCCTCTGCTGTTGGGGTGGCAGGGCACCCTCTCTGATCCGCCTCTGTGTACACCTAGGCTCTGCCACTTAAGGCTTCGTAGCTGTTTTGTCTTGCTCTAGCCCTGCCCTCCCCTCGACCCATGAAGCTTCCCAAACGGTCCCCTTGCAGGGCAGCCACCCTACCCAGCTTGGCTCCCATCCCACAAGGGGAGGTGCTCTCACACCCAGGACCAGCTTTGAGCACAGCCCACCATTGCATAGGATAGATGCTGTTGGAGAAAACAGTTCATGTAGTCTCCACTGTGTCTGAAACACCAAGTGAGTATGTTCTGGTTTGGCTTCTTGGATTGGCTTGCATCTCCATGATATCCAACTCCAACATGACCAAACAAGGGAGAGTTTCATATAGTCTCACTATAAGACCAGGCCGGGCCTTGCCTACAGAAGGGGCCTGAAGTGCCAGTCATGGCAGTACCTAGGCCTTCTGGCCTTCCCTAATCATAGTGGCTGAGCAAGAGCAAGAACTGGGGCACTGAATCAGACTCACTGAGCCCAGCACCCATTCCTCCTGGCCCTCCCAGTCCAGTGCACAGCCCAGTGGCTGCAGCCACTGAAATCTAACTCTGCTCCCACGTTGCCACCCAGGGACACATTTTGATGTTGGAGCATCTCAGTGTGTATGTGGCTAACTTTGGACTTCAAGCTCCCATGTCCATTTGCATAACAGAACTCAGGGTTGAGCATACCCCAGTCCTGACTCACCACCTGCATTGCAGGGAATGATGTCATTCCTCTAAATGTTCATTCCTGTTTTGCATCAGTATATGTGGGTGTGTATACACTGTGTGCACCTGCAAGTGCCAACACTGGGGCTTGAACTCAGGGCCTCAAATTCGTGCATGGCTTTTTCACTCAAGGCTGGTGCTGTACCATTTGAGCCATACTTCTGCTCCCAGAGTTTTTTACTGGTTAATTGGAGATAAGATTTATCTCCCCATGCTGGCTGTAAACCACTATCCTTACAGCTTAGCCTCCTGAATAGCGAGGATTACAGATGTGAGCCACTGGTGTCTGGCTTTGTTTTGCATTTCTTGATTCTGTTATTCCTTTCTAACAAGATCATTACTAGGCTTATCTATCAGAATGTAATATACATTATTCAAATAACATAGAACAGGTACAATATAAATTTAAGTTTTTTAATCCTAAAGTTAAGGCTTTTGGGCTGGGAAGGTGGCTCAGTGGTAGAGTGCTTGCCTTGCATGCATGAGGCCCTGGTTCGATTCCTCAGTACCACATAAGCAGAAAAAAGCCAAAGTGGTGCTGTGGCTCAAGTGGTAGGGCACTAGCCTTAAGCTGAAGAGCTGAGGGACAGCGCCCAGACCCAGAGTTCAGCTCCCACAACCAACCCAAAACAAAAAAAGAAAAGGCTCCTGCTACAGTCTTTTTGATTCTTCAACACTAGTAGATTTTGTTTAGACAACAGAACCATAAATCTGTTGAACACTATCATTAAAAAAATAGAAATGAGCCAATTGCGCTCACGCACATAATCCTAGCTACACAGGAGGCTGAGATCTAAGGATCATGGTTCAAAGCCAGCTGGGACAGGAAAGTCTGTGAAGCTCTTATCTCTAATAAACCACCAGGAAGAAAAAAAAACAAGTGGTGCTGTAGCTCAAGTGGTAGATCTCCTACCTTGAGCTGAAGAGTGCAGGGACAGCCACCCAGGCCCACAGTTCAAGCCCCAGGACTGATTTAAAAAAAAAAAAAAGTCGTGGAAATGTCTCATATCTTAAGGGCCAGGGCATGGCTCAAGTGAAGTCTGTTTGCATAGCAAGAACAAGGCCCAAGCATACCTTTAGATTACTTAGTATGCTTTGGGTCTTCCCTTTTGTGAGAAAACTAGCAAAATATCTTGAGTCTATGTCCTCAGCTTATCTAAATTCTATGCAATACAAATTGAACATTCCCAACCAAAAAAATCCCAAACCTAAAATTTAAAACTCCAAAGCTGGAAACTTTGAGCACTGGCATGGATGACACAAGAAGAAAACTTTGCATCTGACCTCATGTGACAGGTGACAGACACAGGCACAGCCGAGCTTTGTGGCTTGTGCCTATAGTCCTAGCTACTAAGGAGGCTGGGGCTGAAGGATTTCATGAGCCTAGGAATTAGAAACCATCCTGAGAAACACAGCAAAAACCTGTCTCAAAAAAAAGTGGAGTTCAGTCCTCAACGTGAAGGAAAAAAAAAAGTTTGCCAGGCACTGGTGGCTCATACCTGTTAATCTTAGCTACTCAAGAAGCTGAGATCTAAGCCAGTCTGGACAGGAAAACCCATGAAATTCTTATCTCTAATGAACCAGCAAAAACTGGAAGTAGAACTGTGATTCAAGTAGTAGAGCACCAGTGAAAAAGCTAAGGAACAGCACCCATCTGAGTTCAAGCCCCAGTGCGGGCACACGCGCGCACACATACACACACACACACACATACACACACACACACACACACACACACACACACACACACACACGCTTAATTAAAAACCACAAGCACACTTGGGGCATATCCCCAAAATTTCTCATCATATATGTGCAAATAGTCCAAAATCTAAAAAAAAAAATCACAATCCCATATCTGGTCATACTGCTGGTCAGTCACAAACATTTTGAGTAAGGGATTCTCGGTCTGTAAAACTTTTATCTTTTTAGAATTTTCTAGATACTTGGTTCATCTTAGAATTCCTCATTCGAATCTGTTTATTGAATGTGAGTCTTTTGGGTGACTCCTGAGGGTGTTTTGGCAAACCTGGAGGTGTGGTTTCAGACCTTTGGCCTCCATCACCATCCATTGATCCTCTCAGTTGTGTGTCCAGAGTGAACTCAGCAGAAATGGTGTGGCGTCTTCAAGGGCTGTGAATGTCCAGGGTCACTTCTCATTTGTGCCTGGTGGCTCCTGAGGTGGCTGGCGCAGCAGGGCTGCTGCCCATCCCCATTCCTGCAGCCTCAGGCCGTGCTCCCGCTGCCTCCAAAAGGGAGTGGCAGAGCTGCCAGTCCTCTGGAGGGCTTGGCTTGGAACTGCTGGACAGCCCAGCTTCACAGGAAAGAAGTAGAGCCCCCCCCTCTTGAGGTGAGCTACAGAAGACATCACACAGGGAGGCATCCATCTTGAGCAGCAGGCTTAGTCCAGGTTTCCAAAGGGCCAGTTCCTTTTCTGCTAAAGTTAGAAATACTCTAGCTTGCTCTAAGTAGGTGTACACGGTCCCCTCCTGTCTTCCTCCGGGAAAGGAGAACTACCCTCATTTTCTCTTTCTTACACCTACTTCAGATCAGATCAAAGTAATTAGAAATTAAGAGTGTTGATTTGGAAAGCCAAATGGCGTGTGCCCGACTGCTGGCCTTAGGTAGCCCTGAGTGCAGTGGGATGATGGGAGATCAAAGCACATGGCTGTACCAGCCATCCTCAGCATTATGGATAAACATGTGAAGTTTGAGTTGAGTTTGATAAATTCAGTCACTTTTCCTTGTGGACACAACTGATTTCGCTTAGTGGAGTTCTGTCTTGGGGCAGGTGTAGAAAGAGGCTGGCAGGAAGCAGATTCAACAAGGACCCTGTTGTGCACCCACCTCCAGTTCTCATAATACCTGCCCCACTTGGAGGTGACAGATGGCCAAGAGCACATCGCATCTGTCTTTTGAGGCCCAGTGTTCCCAATCCTGTGAGGCTGTTTCTCAGTTTATCAAGAACCTCAAAACGGGCTAGGAATGTGGCTTAGTGGTAGAGTGCTTGTCTAGCATGCATGAAGCCCTGAATTCGATTCCTCAGTACCACATAAACAGAAAAAGCCAAAAGTGGCACTGTGGCTCAAGTGATAGAGTGCTAGCCCAGCCCCAGGACTGGGGGGGAAAAAACTCAAAACCTGTCCACACACCTGTCTTGCCCACCTGCCGACTTTGTCCTGTCCCTTCTGTGTAAGTCTGGTGGAAACCCTCCTTCAGGGCAGGGCAGCAGCAGCCCCTCAGGGAGTTTTTTGACCACCAGGCAATTGTGGCTATTTGGGAATAGAGAAACATCTAGACCCAGCCCTCTGTGTAGACTCTGCCTCTGTGATGTCTACCTGTTCTTTATCTTGGGTCACTTGCACAGTTGTTTCAAACAAGAAGCTGGGCGCCAGTGACTCACACCTGTAATCCTAGCTACTCAGGAGGCTGAGATCTGAGGATCATGGTTCAAAGCCAGTCCGGGCAGAAAAGTCCTTGAGACTCTTATGTCCAATAAAACTCTAGAAAACCGGAAGTAGTGCTGTGGCTCAAGCGGTAGAGCGCTCACCTTGAGCTGAAGAGCTGAGGGACAGCGCCCAGGCCCAGAGTTCAAGCCCCACGACCGACAAAAGGGATGATCAAACAAGAACAATTCAATTTTAGGACATTTTAGTCTTCATAGGCGTCTTTCCTGCTTAGAGCTGTCTCCAAATGTAAAGCTTCATCTGAGAGGCAGACTCTCGACCTCCCACTGCTCACAGAAAGCTTCTGTGCATGTTGGTGACCAACACCCAGTGAGCCTGATGGGGTAAGAGCAGATGATCTGTTTGTGAGGAAAATTCTTGGGGGAAGGACGTTCTCCCCCACCCTAAACCCTCCCCCTCTCTCTTTTGTCAGTTATGCTGCTTGAACTCTGGGCCTGGGCGCTGTCCTTGAGCTCTTCAGCTCAAAGCCAGTGCTCTACCACTTGAGCCATTATGCCTCTTCCAGTTTTCTGGTGTTTAATTGGAGATAAGAGTCTCACACACTTTCCTGCTCCGGCTGGCTTTGAACTGCCATCTTCAGATCTCAGGTTCCTGAGTAGCTAGGATTACGGTGCCCAGCAAGGACATTCTCTTGTTTTCTGAAATCTTCCTGTTGCTTCTGTGTCCTCAGTTCATTTAGCAAATGCATTGTAAGCATCTGACAGATGCCAGACTCAGTTCTAGTACCAGGAACACAGTTAGAAGAAGTCCTTGTCCTCGTCTGGGAGGAGACAAGCAGATGCAGAGGGTGGGCTACATAGTTCCCTAGGAGCATGCGCAGGGTCACAGTGGCAGAGACTGCACAGAATACAGGAGACAAGCTGCAGCCGACTGACACTGGGAAGATGACAGCACCCCGCAGAAGTGTAGGGGGATGTCAGTGGATGTAGGTGACATAGTCACAAAGGTACTACAGGAAGAGCTACTCCCCTTTCTGGACACTGTGCTTAAAAACTGCATAAGACATCCTCTGATGTTGAAATAAGCAACTATGAGATGAATTAGTGCATGGATAGGTATAAATGGGATGAAACAGATAGTTAATGATTGAATCTGCATATTTGAAATAAGGGGTTTGCTATAAAAATTCTTCCCCATAATTGAATTTGGGGGGGGGGGGCCTGATGGGGCTTGAACTCTGGGCCTGGGTGCTATTCCTCAGCTCTTCAGCTCAAGGCTACCCTCTACCACTTGAGCCACAGTGCCACTCTGGTTTTCTGGTGGTTCATTGGAGATAAGAGTCTCATGGACTTTCCTGCCCAGGCTGGCTTTGAATCGCGATTTTCAGATCTCAGCCTTGAGAGTAGCTAGGGTGGCAGGCATGAGCCACCGACGCCCAGCTTTGAAATTTTTAAAAATAAAATCCTGGGAAGAAATTTGAGCAAGACAAGCTCTCTGCCCTCAAGGCATTTCCATCTCCAGGCTTTCACGAGCTCTTGGGCCCCTGACTGGAGACTCCACAGGCAGGGAGGTGAGAGGGCTGCCTCCCGCGCGCCGGGCTGCCTCCCGCCCGGTCCCTGGCTTTCCTCCTGCAGGCTTTGTTTTCCTACTATTTCTAACTATTACCTCAGGTTCTGACTCTGATTGTTCTCTCTAGGTTTATTTATGAAACAGAGCATCATAATGGCATAGCAGAATTACTGGAAATATTGGGAAGGTAAGTCTGGCAGTGAATGGACCAAGGTGGAATTTATGCTAGAATGATCCCACTCTCTCTCCCTAGGGCAAGTAATTTAAATCATTCTCTAAAAGAAAGATTATAGAATTTCACCTAAGGAGAAGATTGGTGAACTTTTGGAGTAGAACACACCAAATGACAAATCTCGTTTTTATGATTCCAATTTTTTTTTAATTTTAAGTTGATCCCACTTTAGCTCAGTGTCGTTACCATGGAAACTATGGAACTTCAGTTACTTCCTCAAGAACAGTGTCTTAGAACTGCAATCCTAGCTACTTAGGAGGCTGAGATCTAAAGATTGCAGTTCAAAGCCCAGGCTGGACAGGAAAGCCCATGAAACTTCTATCTCCAATTAACCAACAAAAAGCGAAATATGAAGCTTTAGCTTAAGTGGTAGAGAGCTAGCCTTGAGCACAAAAGCTCAGGTACAGTGCCCAGACCCTGAGTTCAAGCTCTAGTACCACACATATACACATACACACACAAAAAAAATGGTTACATAAGAAGTTTGATCCTAGAAACTCAGAAGGTAGATTATACCTTTGAGGTATTAAATAAATACTAATTTTTAATATTTCTTTGATTTTACTGTTTTTAGTATTTAATGATAATTGATATTTTTCCAAGATTTTATCATTTTAATCTAAGTAGCCCTCATAACCCACTCCTCCTGAGATCCCCTCAGGGCTGGAGTGACAAAGCTGAGGAGGGCTTTTCTCCCATGGGGATGAGGTGTGCGTTAGCAGTGCTGCAGGCTGCAGAGGAGCCATTGCAGTGAAGAAACCCAGGTCTTTGGACTGAGCCTGCTGGTTCCCCACAGCACTAAATAGAGTCTCGTCTCAACAGACACTATTGTCTGGTGGGCCAGGTTCTACCCAAGAGTTCCAAGAAAGACCACCCCTGCTGCCTTAATGTAATTTGAAAGGCATCGTCCTCAGAGACATCTGCATAGGCTACTTTTGATACACTAGGACAAAGCTATCCCTCAATGCATGGCATAGTCGGGGATGGAGAGGGATGTCCTTCCCAGTTACATGACCTTGGGCAAGTCAAATGGGAAGGATAATTGTATTTGCCATCTCAGCTGACGGGGTGGCACAAGCTGCAAAAGGTGTAAATACTACTAAATACTACATGCTGTCCCACTACCTCGGCCTGCCTTTTTTTTTTTTTTTTCTTTTTTGGCTGGTTCTGAAGTTGAACTCAGGGCCTGGGCGCTGTCCCTAAGCCTCTTTATGCTCAAGACTAGCACTCTTACACTTGAGCCACAGCCCCACTTCCAGCTTTTCCTGAGTAGCTTATTGAAGCTAAGAGTCTCAGCCAGGTACTGGTGGCTCACACCTATAATCCTAGCTACTCAGGAGGCTGAGATCTGAGGGTCACAGTTCAAAGCCAGCCTGGACAGGAAAGTCTGAAACTCATCACCAAAAAGCTGGAGTTGTGGCTTAAGTAGTAGAATATAAGCCTTAACAAAAAAAGCTCAGGGACCACACCTAAGCCCTGAGTTCAAGCCCCACAATGACAAAAAAAAAAAAAAAAAGTTTTACAAACTTTGCTGCTCAGGCTGGCTTCAAATTGTGTGGTCCTCAGATCTCAGCCTTCTAGCTGCCTTGGGCTGCCTGCTACCAGTCAAGTCGCACAAACCTTGAACTTCAAGATTATCTTACAATGACAAAGATTATAACAGCTATGCTTTCTCAAAGTCATTTGGGTTTTTTTTCCTTTTGATATACTCCCTTTTTCTGAAATATTTTGCATACTGGCTCATTGTGAAGAAAACAAAGAATGAGAAGGTATTTGGTTTTAATCTGGAATTTGCAAATGCTAAGTTGAATAAATTGTCTCTTCAACAGTATAATTAATGGATTTGCCTTACCACTCAAAGAAGAGCACAAGATTTTCTTATTGAAGGTGTTACTACCTTTGCACAAAGTGAAATCCCTGAGTGTCTACCATCCCCAGGTAAGGCATCTTCACGACACAGGATGGGTGGGGGCCCAGCTGCCCAGCAGTGTCTCCCTGTCACAGTGGTGACATCAGGAGCAGAAGTGGGGCGAGAGATTCCTCTTGAGAAACTGAGGGAGGCTCTGGAATCAAGAACTCTACAGATAATTTGAGGTGGAGATGGGAGGAGCAGACTGAAAGGATGACTTCTGGGAGGGAAGCTTTCCGCAGTGTGCTCTGAAACTGTGGACCTGGGGTACAGAAACCAGTAGGCCAAAGAGGGGAGGGCACCAGGAAGGGGCTTTTTTAAGCGAGAGAGGCTAACTGTAGTTATACTGGGAAATTGAGTGGTTCCTGATGAGTTAGTTGGCTGTCTCTAGATTTGGATGACCCACACTTGTCCCTGACACTGAGCCACAACCATCCCAGCACCCTGAAGCCTTAGGAAGGCTCCTCAGTGGTACCCTTGGAGGCCACTGGGCCACACACGGAAGGACCCTGTTCTGCCAGGAAAAAAAAAAAAGTATATTCTTCAGTTGATTCAGAAGGCATGGCTTCCTGGGAAATAACTCATTTTCTGTGGCTGCTAAATTACTTGTTCATTCTGATCTCGAAAAGGACCGCAAGAAAAACCCCACCACACTAGGTTGACTTGATGGCACTTAGTCTAAAAGATGTTTCCTGGTTTGTTTTGTTACCAATTAATGGAGAAAGAGTGGTGTATTGAGCATCAGTCCCGGGTTCCTTCCTGAGAGGCCCCTAGGAGAGCCTCCTTGGACTCAGTAGGCTCAGGCCTGGTAGGCCTTTGTCTTGCCAAGGGACAGTGTTTAATGGTGGTTCTAGAAGGAACACGGCTGCATTTCCATATTGAAGTGAAACGTTAACACTCTTCTATCACTTTTCAGCTGGCGTACTGTGTTGTGCAGTTTTTAGAAAAGGACAGCACCCTCACCGAGCCAGTAAGTGCTCTGTCTGTGGTCCTGACTGCCTGTGCCTTCCTCACATCTATGACTATGGCTACATGTCTGCTGCTCACACAGCATTTTCGTCTTCAATTGCAGTGTTGATCAGCAGGCTAATCGCACTTCTGTGCAGAGGTTTGCGAAGGGTGGTAGTTGTCATTACAAAATCTTTATGTGATGAGCTTGTCCCTGGCCCAGTCACAGAACACTGAGCCCCTAAGAGGTTCAGTCGCCATGTCGTATGCTAATCTCTGAGTCTGACGCTCTACCAGGACCTAAAGAGCACACCTCTCCCCTCCCAGATGTCAGCCCTCCCTTCCTGTCAACCTCACGTCCTGTCTCCTCTTTCTCAGGTGGTAATGGCACTTCTCAAATACTGGCCAAAGACTCACAGTCCAAAAGAAGTAATGTTCTTAAATGAACTAGAGGAGATTCTAGATGTAATTGAACCGTCGGAATTTGTGAAGATCATGGAGCCCCTTTTCCGGCAGTTAGCCAAATGTGTCTCCAGCCCGCACTTCCAGGTAGATGGCTTGGAGGGGCGATTGCTCGATTATTTCAGAATATTCATTTTGGAAATGAAAGTTTCAGTGCATGGTTTGCTTCTCACAATTCAGAGTTAAAATTCAAGTTTTTACTTTAGTTATGCTTCAAAATAAGCTGTTAAAACTTTAATTCTATAAAACATAGTTTCATATCCTGTTCTCATCACTGAAAACATTTTTCTTCACAGGAGTGATTAGAAGTGGTTTTTCTATACACTTTTTTCTGTTCAAGTCCAGTATGGACACAGCCTTATTTTTCACAACTGAGTCATCGATATTTTTTGTGTGGCAGTCCTGGAGCCTTAGTGCTGTCCCTTAGCTTCCCCCCCCCCCCCCCCCCCCCCCCCCGTCAGTCATGGGGCCTGAACTCTGAGCCTAGGCACTGTCCCTCAGCTCTTCAGCTCAAGGCTAGCACACTACCACTTGAGCCACATCACCACTTCCGGCCTTTTCTGCTTATGTGGTGCTGAGGAATCGAACCCAGGGCCTCATGCATGCAAGGCAAGCACTCTACCACTGAGCTACCTTCCCAGCCCTTCCTTGTCCCTTAGCTTTTTCACTCAAGGCTGGTACTCCAGCACTTGAATCACAACTCCATTTCTGGGTTTTTTGGCCTTTAATTGGAGGTAATAATCTCATGGAGTTTCCTGCCCAGGCTGGCTTCAAAATGTGATCCTCATATCTCAGCTTTTTCTCAGTAGCTAGGACAATAGGCGTAAGCCACTATGCCTGGCTTTGAGTTATCAGAATTTAGGTGATGATAAAAAAAAAAAAATCCTAGTTCTATATCTGGGTGCCCATAGCTCACACCTGTAATCTTAGCTATTCAGGAGTCTGCGTCTGCGGATGACAGTTCAAAGCCAGACCAGGCAGGAAAGTCCATGAGACTCTTATCTCCATTTAACCACCAGAAAACCAGAAGTTAGTTCTGTGGCTCAAGTTTTAGAGCACTAGCCTAGAGCTGAAGAGCTGAGGGACATCACTCAGGCCCACGTTCAAGCCCCATGACTGACAAAAAAAAAAAAAGCAAAACACTCTAGGTTTGAAAAATTGTTTTCATAAAGTCTTCTGACATAAATCTCTCTCTAAAGTTTTTTTTAAAATGCTTTAAAAAATTAGTATTTTCCAGCTGGCCATCAGTGGCTCACACCTGTAATCCTAGCTACTCAGGAGGCTGAGATCTGAAGATCATGATTCAAAGCCAGCACTGGCAGGAAAGTCCATGAGACTCTTATTTCCAATAAACCATCAGAAAACCAAAAGTGGCACTGTGGCCCAAGTGGTAGAACACTGGCCTTGAGCTGAAGAGCTGAGGGACAGTGCCCAGCAGAGTTCAAGCATCATAACTGACCAAAAAAAAAAAATAGTATTTTCCAACCAAGTGTGGTGGTGCACACCTGTAATCCTAGCACCCTGGCGGGCGAGACAAGAGGGTCACAAGTCCAAGTCCAGAATGAGCTTCATGGTAAGATCCTTTCTCAAAAGCCAGGGTGCGGCTGGGAGGTGGCTTAGTGATAGAGCACTTGCCTAGCATGCGCGAAGCCCTGGGTTCCATTCCTCAGCACCAGCTCAGGTTCTAGAGGGCTAGCCTTGACCAAAATAAACTCAGGGACAGTGCCCAGGCCCTGAGTTCAAGTCCTAGGACTGGTTTAAAAAAAAAACAACTGACAACTCTGTGTGTGCGTGTGCGTGTGTGCGTGAGCACACGCGTGCACGCGCACGCGCACATGTATGCATGTAAAGTATTTCTGCCTTTTCTCCCTACCATAGTCCCATGCAAGAGACAGTATTGAGCCACTAGCCTCCATCCTTTCACAACATGGAGCAGATATGGATGGTATGTTGCCATAAGCAGGGTAGAAATCTAGACAGGCAAAAGCGCTTGCCTAGCAAGTGCAGCATACTGGGTTCAATCCCCAATACCAAAAAAGAAAGAGACAACAAAGAAAAAAAGAGAGAGAAGAGACCCATAGACTTTGCTGCCCAGGCTGGCTTTGAACTGTGATCCTCACATCTCAGCCTCCTGAGTAGCTAGGCTTATAGACAAGAGCCACCAGTGCCCAGCCTTGTTAATGTTGTTTTTGTCTTTTTAACTCATGCTCTATATTGTCCTGTGTGCCCTTCTCTTCTGCTTCAACAAGTTCACCCCTATTCTGCAAAGCTCAGCTCCTCCCATCCTGTGATTCCTGAGCGCTCCTCGCCCTCTCCTGCCATCCTCTCTGCTGCTGCCCACCCTGCCACATTACTATCTTAGAATCTCTAGGTTTCTGGTGGCAGAAATGTCACCACTCCTCTGTGCCAAGTGTGTGAGGGCCACTGCTAGGCTGTACATATCCTAGTGGCTGTATGAACTTTCATCTGGTTCTGCAGAAAGCACAGAGATGTGCCAGGTGCCTGTGGAAAGAGACAGCAGGGGTGGAAGGATGTGTGTACTCATAATAGCCTTTCAGCTTTGTGTGTTGGAAACTTAGAGCAGGTGGGAGCCCTCCTCTGACTTCCCAACTCATCCAAAGTAGGACCAGTCCATGGACCCTGGGCTGGGGCCATGCCTCAGTTCCTCTTGGCAATCCTCTGGCTGCTCCCTGCTGTCCTCCTTTCTCAGGATCTCCCTGCATGCCCCCGCCTGCCCCCCCACAACCCACCCCCAGCACCTCCACTACCTGCCCACTGCTCCTTGAGCCCTCTACAACCTCATCACTTGTAGTAAATCAGGAAATCACCCATCCTTGGTTCTTCCTTCAGAAGCCACTACAAGTAAGTATGTCTGCCCACGCCCCCACCCCCTGCTCTCTGTACACGCATTGCTGAGTATGCATCACACACTAGATAACTAGTAAATACAGGACATGGGGAATGAATGAGTGAGTAGGAAAACGAGTGAATGGCCAGGCGCTGGTGGCTCACACCTGTAATCCCAGCTACTTAGGAGGCTGAGATCTGAGGATCTCAGTTCAAAGCCAGCCCAGGCAAGAAAGTCCTTGAGACTCTGATCTCTAATTAACCACCAGAAAACCGAAAGGGCACTGTGGCTCAAGTAGTAGAGCACTAGCCTTAGGCTAAAGAGCTCAGGGACAGTGCCCAGGTCAGAGTTCAAGCTCTACAACAGACAAAAAAAAAAAAAGGAAAATGAGTGGATAATGAATAGATGGGCAGGGCTGGGAAGGTGGCTCAGTGGTAGAGCATTTGCCTTGCATGCATGAGGCCCTGGGTTTGATTCCTCAGCACCACAAAAAGCAAAAAGAAAAAAAAGCCGGAAGTGGCGCTGTGGCTCAAGTGGTAGAGCGCTAGCCTTGAGCTGAAGAGCTGAGGGACAACGCCCAGGCCCAGAGTTCAGGCCCCACAACTGGACCCAAAAAAAGAATAGATGGGTAAGTGAGTTCAAGGGAGGACTGGAAGAAACGTCTTCGACTCATGTTACCATCAGGTGGCTGATATCTAGGATAAATGTTCATAGAGTGAATGGAGAATCAAATGCTGATGTTCTAGATTTCTTAATGTGTATGATATCATCTGCCGTGCACTGGTGGATCACACTTGTAATCCTAGCTACTTACGAAGCTGAAATCTGAGGATCGTGATTCTAAGCCATCCGGGGCAGAAAAGTCCCCATGAGACTCCAGTTAACCACCAAAAACTGGAAGTGGAGCAGTCACTCAAAGTGGAAGCACTAGCCTTGAGCAACAAAGTGCTCAGGGAGAGTGCCCAAGCCCTGAGTTCAAGCCCCACGACTGGCAAAAAAAAATTTTTTTTATTGTAAAGATACTATACAGAGGGGTTACAGTTACATGAGTGAGGTAATGAGTACACTTCCTCTTGAACATTGTTACCCCCTCCATTGTTTTCCCCCTATCATCCCTTCCCTCCCTACCTTCCCCAAGGTTCTTTTTTTTTTTGATTGTGATTACATAATTTACGGAATTTCACAGTATTGTGGAATAATGATGCTCATTTAAAGTCACAAGTTCATTCTAACTTTCCTGGAACAAATTGTCTATCACAGTCTATAACATATAACGGTGTTCACATGTTATACACCATACATGTGATCAGCAGCATGGGGATATTTAGTAGTGGTTCGACCAGATGAGTGGGAGTTCTTTGTTTCTTAAGTCCTGTTGGTTTTGTCGTATCACCTGACATTTTAGATTTAGCATCCACTTATCAGGGAGACCATGTACCGTTTGTCTCTTCGCTCTTGGCTTACCTCGCTCAACATGATTCCTTCTAGCTCCATCCATTTCCCTGCAAATGCCATTATTTTGTCATTTCTAATGGCTGCATAATATTCCATTGTGTATAGATACCACAATTTTTTGATCCATTCATCTGTGGTGGGGCATTTAGGTTGTTTCCATATCCTAGCTATTGTGAACAGTGCTGCAATAATGGAGGTGCATGTGTCCTTGTATATTGGCTCCTGTTGTTCAGGGTAAATGCCTAGAAGTGGTATGACTGGGTCGTAAGGGAGGTCAATCTTTAGCTTTCTAAGGACCCTCCAGACTGCTTTCCAAAGGGGTTGTATAAGTGTACATTCCCACCAGCAGTGTAATAGGGTTCCTCTTTTTCCACATCCCCTCCAGCATTTGTCGTTGGCTGATTTGTGGATGTGGGACATTCTGACTGGGGTAAGGTGGTATCTCAGGGTTGTCTTTATTTGCATTTCTTCACCACCAGGGATGATGAACATTTCCTCATGTGTTTCTTTGCCATTTTTATTTCTTCATTTGAGAAGTCCCTTTTTAGTTCCCTTGCCCATTTAGTAATTGGTTTGTTAGGTTTGGGAGGGATTAGTTTCTTGAGTTCCCTGTATATACAGGGTGTTAACCCCTTGTCTGATATATTGCCGGTAAATATTTTTTCCCAATTAGTTGGTTGTCTTTCTAGCTTGGTTACAATAGATTTAGCTGTGCAGAAGCTTTTTATTTTAAGGTAGTCCCATTTGTCGAGTCTCTCTCCAACTTGTTGTGACCCTGGGACTC